CAGGGCTTCACTGCACTCCATTGGGCCCTGGTAAAGGGGAGTCAGGGATCAATACAGAAGCTACTAGAGTATGGCGCCGACCGATTCGCTAAGAACAACGACGGCAAGACACCGGAGGTCACGGCGCAGGAGATGAACACTACTCGGCAATGGCGTCGCGCCCTCATGGAAGCTGGCTTCGATCGAAATGGAAATCCGAGACAGTTCCCCATCCCAGGTATCAAGGACACGAGATGGTTCCTGAGTCGCTTCATATTCTTCTGGCCGTTTGCTTTACTTTTCACTGCCCTTTTCCTCGTCAGCCACTACCCGGCGTTTGTTGGTATACCCTTGTCGTTGATTGTCGCCTATCTCATGCAATGGGGAGCACAGTGGCTTTTGCGATGGGGTCCCTCCAACATGCGAAGCATACATCATACTGTACGTCGACTGCTGGCTTACTTGTGCCTTGTCGCTAACCAAATCCCAGCCTTTTTTGGCCGGCATCTTCGCCGGCACACTGTTCTGGGTCGGTCTCCGTTGGGCAACAACAGTCTTACCCTGGACAATTCGAACCAACTTCTTTATAAACTTTCTCTTCGCAGCATTCTACGGACTCACGGCCTATTTTTATTTCTTCACCATGACTATTGATCCCGGCTTTGTACCCAAGTCGGCGAGCAGGAGTGCTTCCAAGGCAGTCATTGACGAGCTTATGGAGCTACGACAATTTGATGAACGCCACTTTTGTGTAAACTGCATGGTGCGGAAGCCTTTGCGTAGCAAGCATTGTAAGAGATGTGAGCGCTGCGTTGCAAAGAGTGATCAGTGAGTAGTTCACGTTGACAGCATAGGATGGCGCTAACCGTGACAGTCATTGTCCATGGGTGAACAACTGTGTGGCGAACAACAACCACAGACATTTCGTGCTGTATGTACTATCTCTGGAACTCGGTATTGTTATGTTCATAAGGCTGGCCCTTGCTTGTAAGTCAAAACCTGGTATGCTGGTGTCATAAGGCTAATGTTAGTAGATCTGGAAATACGTGACGCGCCCAAAGATTTTCCCAAGTGCGCAGTCATCTCGCCGGATCTTTGCAAAGTCCTCAACAAAGACCCATTTACGATTGTACTGTCAATATGGGCTGCCTTTCAACTAACATGGGTGACCATGCTTCTCTGTGTTCAGCTTCTTCAGATCGCGCGCAATCTCACGACCTACGAAAGCATGCGCGGACACCTTCATGGTGGCACACCTGCGGATGCGCTCAACTCATTTGTGACCACCGGCGATACGAGCCAAGACGTGTCCGGCGGTGCCGGGAACGCGCCCACGAACGGTTTCGGCTCTGGTCAAGATACAGGCGACATTCCACGTCGTCCTCAACCTAAAGCTTCTATTTGGGATCAATGGAAGCGTCTCCTTGGAATCGACACCTTCCTTACAATCGCCCTTCACGGAAGCCAAGGAGAACAAATAATGCGACAAAGACGGGGCAACCCCTTTTCACGAGGTATCGTTACGAATTGCAAGGATTTCTGGTGCGACGCCAGTCCAATGTTTGGTTCAAAAGAGAGTGGGTATGCAAGGCTGGGTGGTGAGAGAGTGGACTATACAAGGTTGTATGAGGTGCCCAAGATGAGGTATCAGAGAGGTGGTGGAGGTGAAGGAGGGAGGTATGAGAGTGTGGCTGCGGAAGAGGAGTCATGATCACGACGCAGGTAGCGATAATGGTAATGATGATGAAGAGTATGGAACGCTAGTGGTTCCCAGGACCATACAAATACTTTGTCGTGAACTATGCTGTTCTCACGTCGGCTACTGAAATGTGGCCGAAATCCCTGCAGTTGTACCAGACCGGAAGTCAAAAGCCGAGGCTGCAGCGAAGAAACTCCCCGCGCCACCCTAAACAACCCGTCGTGGGTCGCGCACATGCTTGACGCTCCACTACCCTGTTCAACTTGGTCGCCTGGCTTTTGCTGAGCTTTCTTTTCCACTATGCCCTAAGTCTAATTTACTTCTTTTCCTTGTTGTTATCGTCGCAAGCTTTTAGGCTGTGCGCCGAATGTCGAAAATGACATCATCCGAGGCCCTGAGAGGGTTGAGGACCCTTTCGCGATGCGCTGGCCCGACGCCGAAGAGAATTGCGGTGGGACGCAACCTGACAGTCGATGGCAAGAGGGTGATATGCACCAACTGCACGAGAAGTTCAAGACAGGCGAGGCATGCGCCAGGGCACGCTCCTGCGCGCCCGAGCAACGTTGCCCATGTGCCGAACAGAGTTTCCTTTGCGCCGGTAGGTTGCAGAGGGTACGCGCAGGCTGCGCGTGAATGTACGTTTCGTAACTGAAAAGACTGCTTTTCAACATGAGTGCTGATCCTAACAGATGCAACTGAAGACCCTGAGCGAACCCATGGCCCCATGGCCGAGTACGATGCGCGCGTCGAATCCGGGCGATTACGAGACGACGAGCACCAACGCAACATCATCAGGAATCTTCAAGACCTCCACGATATGCTGCAATCCTATGAACAACCGCCCGTCCAGCAACCTACCATCGAGTCCCTTCAGCCACCTAAAAAGTCCTTCTTCTCTTTCCTCTCATCGTCCAGCCCCGCAGGATCGGCCCTGCCACCCATACCAGAATCACTACCAAAGGGCATGTATATGTTTGGAGATGTAGGCAGTGGGAAGACAATGATGATGGATTTGTTCTACGACACACTTCCGCCAAACATTAAGAGAAAGACGAGGATCCATTTCCACGCCTTCATGCAAAGCGTACACAAGGACTTGCACAAGATGAAGATGCAGCATGGGAATGACATTGACAGTATACCCTTCGTCGCAGCGGGTATAGCAGAGCGGTCCTCGGTTCTTTGCTTCGACGAATTCCAATGCACGGATGTCGCCGATGCCATGATCCTCAGGAGATTAATGGAGAGCTTGATGGCACATGGAACAGTCATCGTCACGACGAGTAACAGACACCCAGACGACCTATACAAGAACGGTATACAAAGAGAAAGCTTCATACCTTGTATCAATCTTCTAAAATCAAGACTTACGGTCCTGAACCTGGATTCATCGACAGATTACAGAAAGATCCCACGGCCGCCAAGTGGTGTCTATCACCACCCGCTAGACGCCTCCGCGCAAACGCATGTAGAGAGATGGTTCCGCTTCCTCGGCGACTTCGATAACGACCCACCACACCCGGCTGTTCACGAGGTCTGGGGAAGGGAAGTTCGCGTACCGAAGGCTAGCGGGAAGTGTGCCGTGTTTAGTTTCGACGACATCATTGGACGCGCTACGGGAGCAGCCGACTATCTGGAACTTACGAGGCAGTATGAGGCGTTTGTCATTACAGGGGTGCCTGGGATGAACTACAGGTCAAGAGACTTGGCGCGGAGATTCATCACTTTTATAGATGCCGTGTACGAATCAAGGGTAAGCGAGATACTGGCAGTGCGGGAGCTCATACACGGGGGCACGTGGTTGGAAGTATACAGTACTAACGGAAGACCAGGCCAAGCTAGTAATGACAACAGCTGTTCCCCTAACAGCCCTTTTCCTCGACCAGTCCGAACTAAACGACGCTGTAACCGCTACACAGAAAGCTGGAAAACTTCCCACTACGACCTCTCCTTCGCCCAAGCCACCTGCCAAATCTGCCGAAGCAGACAACCATGAAGCTATCTCGGATGTTATGCGTAATCTCATGGATGACCTTGGCATGAATATGGACATGTTGAAGAACAGCAGTATTTTTTCTGGTGACGAAGAACGATTTGCGTTTGCTAGAGCCTTGTCGAGATTGAGTGAAATGGGAAGTCAAGAGTGGGTTGAGCGCGGGTTGGGATTGGAGAAAAGAGGCGGAAAGGGAGAGATGGAGGGGTGGCAGAAGGTTCGAAGCAGATGGAGGGAAGATAGCATGTAGGATTGACCGCTTACACTATACCATATCTGAGCTCAAGGACACGAATTTGCGTGTTGAACACTTGCTACCGCTGGACGCGGGCATTACTCTTACCTCTGAAGTGAGGTTGTGGAGATTGAGAACACGGAAGACGATTGCGGTACATTGTTTCGATCTTGATTGCAGGAAATATTAAGATAATCAGGATCGACGCATCTCTTGCTAAGGTTAACCGCGATGTGCGGTGCGATGCTTGTATCGGACGATGGCGTACGTGTCATTCCATGAATCGTCGTGATCGTATCAGTGTATGGAAAATATTGCGATATTGTGGTGGTGAGAGCAAGCATGCGGTTGATCGACCCGTTTCAATTGACCGAAAGCTGTGGAGCCGCGGTTTGGCCGACATGATGTTCGTTGGCACAGACGCGATCGCCTCGTGTTCGCCAATATTGCTCCGTTCCAACAGGGTTGTCGGGCAGCAGCGTTCGGGCTTATGGGCTGTTTCTTACGAATAGCGGCTGCATATTCTGACAAGCACGTGTTACAGGCGGATAATCGCACAGGCAGTGTCGCGGAAAGGGCGGATAGGGCAAGTATCGCGTGCGTTATTGCTGTGGCTGGAGAGGTGTTGCAACGAGGACCATGTCTGCGCATGTCTGAGCACGACTAAGAGTGTTGGCGGTGAAGGTCGAGGCAGCCAATGAGGCGGGCTGTCTCAGCCATACCAAGTCACATGGACCTTGGCAGTACGTCATGGCACTGGCGCTAGCAATGGTAGCCGCGATATGCACCAACGCGGACCAGCGATAACACTCTTTCTTGAGCACGCGCATTGTCTGTAGTAACCACATGTTTGTGCTGCCTCCCCAACGTGGATATGGAGACTCCACATCCCGTCACCTGTCCTTATCGTGCATCTGCAGCGGCGTGGAGACTTGGGCCGTTGGTGTGGAGAAAGGGTCCTCGTGAGTCTTGCTCAAGGAACTAGTCATCAGAGCCTTGGTATCGATTACAGGGTACGCCGTATGATATAGACCTTACCGTCTCTTACATTGCTCTTTCTCCGGTTGGAAGTATTACACTCTCGGACAGACGCCATGGTCAACTTCACCCCCTGGCGGAAGTCGCAGTCAGCCGACGAGAGTCCCGTGGCTTCGACTGCCACATCCACACAAGAGAAGGACGCCCCACGACGGAGGTGGAATCTGGGGATTCTGAGCGACCCACAGACTGACGAAGTGCCTGGTAAGGACTTTTTTTATTGATTGTTCTAGGCGAATGGCAAACTAATCCTCTCCTCTCAGGCTCCGTTATTCTCCTGTCGAAAACGCACAACCGCAACGAACCGTTGGGACTCCAGCATGCCCACGCACGCACATCGGCCTCGTCGCTCCCCACCGCGTACCGACCCAGGCCTCAGCGAACTGCCTCGCAACCGGGCTCCCGCCAGTCGTCCCGTTCTCGGCCGCCCGAGAAGAAGCGGACAAAGGATGGTCGTTTCATTCTGGACCCACAGCCCGAAGAGTCGGCGAACGATCCGCTCAACTGGGCACAAGTGCGACGAGATCTCGCTCTCTTGTCGCTTGGATTCTACTGCATGGTCGGAGGAGGAATGACGCCGCTGTTGGCCGCTGGTTTCAATGATGTGGCTCAGACATACGACGTGACGATTCCCCAAGTGGCCTTGACTACAGGCCTATACATGCTGGGACTTGGTCTGGGTAGCGTGGTTGCGTCACCTACTGCCATTCTGTTTGGCAAGCGGCCCGTATATCTCGGTGCCATTATACTCTTCACCGTCTCCTCCATATGGTGCGCGGTATCGCCCAACTACGCCTCCCTCGTAGTGGCGCGCATTGTCCAAGGCTTTGCCGTTTCTCCAGTCGAATGTCTGCCTAGCGCTACTATTGCCGAGATTTTCTTCCTCCACGAGAGAGCGTACCGCCTGGGAATCTACACGCTACTTCTGCTTGGCGGAAAGAACTTGATTCCTTTGGTCAGTGCCGTTATTGTGCAGTCTTTGGGCTGGCGATGGGTCTTCTGGATTACCGCCATTGTCGTCGGTTTCTGTTTCTTCCTCATCTTCTTCTTCGTGCCCGAAACCTTTTGGGACCGAGCACCCAGGCCAGCCAAGCGACACAATCGCGCCCGTAGTAAGAGTCCAGGACAACACCATGGACACTTTCATCTACCAAATATGCACCACAAGAAGGCTGTCGATGCATCGCAGGCACAGAATGCATCAGTACCAGCAACGCCCTTGCCCACATCGCCTCTGGCAGCGCCCAACGAGGTGCCCGCCAAGCGTCACAAGAACACACATGTTGGATTCGCCGAGCCAGACCCTGACGAGAAGACTGGTCATACAGATATTGCTGATGGTACTGGGCGACACGCAAGTGTGCCGCCGACTCCACGCTCTCCGATGAGCATCCACTCCACGCCTGGCGAGAACCCGCGTCATGACTATTTCGGGCAATTTCCGGAAACCTTTGTAGCTGATCCAGAGAAACAAGATAGTCGTCCTGGCAGCGAACATATATCGACGGATCCTGCCGAAAATGACCATGTGTCAGAACAGTTTTCGATTCATTACACCGACTACTACCGTGACGCCCCGGCAAAGTCGTATCGCCAGTCGCTCAAGCCGTGGAACGGGCGTCTTGTCAAAGACAAGTGGCTTCGCGTAGCCATCCGCCCATTCATCCTCTTTGCCTATCCCGCCGTCCTTTGGTCATCGCTTGTTTACGCTCTTGCAGTTGGTTGGCTGATTGTGCTTTCTGAATCGGTTGCCCACATCTACCACGACACGTCGTACAACTTCACCCCACTTCAAGTGGGTCTTGTCTACATCTCACCTTTTGTAGGTGGTGTTCTGGGTACTGCAGTAGCAGGCCGAGTCTCCGACCTTGTGGTACGATTTATGGCACGCAAGAATGATGGCGTATACGAGCCAGAATTCCGTCTCCTCATGGCGGTCCCGATCTCCATTAGCACTGTTATTGGACTTATGGGCTTTGGTTGGAGTGCTGAAGAGAGGGACAGCTGGATTGTTCCGACCGTTTTCTTCGGCGTCATCAGCTTCGGCTGTTCGCTGGCTAGTACCACAGCCATTACTTTCGTGGTTGACAGTTACCGCATGTATGCGGGTGAGGCGCTTGTCACGCTTAATTTCTCAAAGAGTACGTCCAGCCTGATGTTACCTACATTTACATGGAAACTAACGCATTCTGACAGACGTTTTACACGGCTTCATCTTTTCTCTCTTCTTCCCGCATTGGCTAGAGTCGAGCGGTAGCAAGGATACATTCTTAGCGATCGGAGGCATTCAATTGGGATGCATGCTTTTCAGTATTCCCATGTACATTTATGGCAAGAGAGCACGGATGTGGACCGTGAGAAAGAACCTGATGGAGAAGTTCTAGATATTTTTCACTAGATGCGAGGGTGTGAATAGAATGGAGTTGCAAGATAGCAATATCTCCGTGTCTCAACGTACTGAGCATATGGTCTCATAGTTGCAGGTGCAAAGTGCGGGATTGTCTTGACTGAGCACAAGATACGGCCGCTCGTGTTGTATATGCACTAGCTAGAGGATTCTGAGCATTTCTTGGAAATCGATAGCTTGTTGTTGTGCCTAACATGGACGTTGATGGACACAGCTAGTACACCGCTGGTTGCTTAGACGACGGCGCATCGCCCTTGGCGGCGGGCAGTATTTTGCGCTCGACGCACTCGGCGGCCCACGCTCAGGATACATCTAACAGCCCCTTCAACACCAGATTAAACCCTCACACCGCCTATACCACCGTTTTCGGAATTGCTGAATATATTTCTTGTCACCAAGCAACTCTCGCAGTACACATTATACACAATGGTAAGTCGAGTCTTTTCTTCTTCGGAACTCGGACCCCGCATCGCTCGTGGCCTCTGGGCAATCGTTGGTTGGCCGCGGGCCAGGTCGTCCCTGCCCTGGCGTGCGGGCAACGGGCAGCGGCGAGTGGCCGCAGCAAAACAACGCGCGTGCTTCATTCTGTTGCACATGGTGTCAACACTGCAACTCGACTTTTCCAACGGCAGCATCGCAAATCCACGCCCAACAGTCCAACAACCCCACCACTAGCGATTTGAACAAGACGAGAGAAGAACAGCCATGGATAACAGTCATCAGGCCTCTACCAACTACCGCGAAGCTTTCCAGCTCTTCGACAAGCGTGGCAACGGCCGTGTCGACCGCGGTGCGCTGGGTGACCTCCTCCGCGCATGTGGACAGAACCCTACACTGGCTGAGATTGCCGATCTCGAGCGCGGTGTTGGCGCAGACTGTACGTATCCGCCATGCACGCATTCGCTTTCCAAGCGTTTTGCGCCTGCTGCACATGGGTTCCGGGGCTAACAGGTTGTTCACAGTCGACTTCGACACCTTCTCCAAGATCCTCAACCGCCCCGGCGGCTTCCGCGAACCCTTTGACATCGAGGAATACATCCGCGGCTTCCAGGTCTTCGATAAGGACCGGAGCGGGTTTGTCGGCAAGGGTCAAATCAAGTACATTCTGACCAACCTGGGAGAGAAGATGAGCGAGGAGGAGGTCGATGAGCTGTTCAAGAGCACCATCGATGCAAGCAATAACGAGGTGGACTACAGGGGTAAGTTTCTACACCTTTGAACAGAGCATCAGGAGACTTTGACTGACTGGTGATTGCAGAGTTCGTCAAGACTATTGCGGAGAACTAAACGTTGGTTCTTGCAATTCTTGTTCGTCCCTTCTTCTCCTTCTCCATTGAGATTTTATGCGAGCATGTCTGAAACGGGTCACGGTTTTTTGCATGCGGATTACGTCGGCGTTGGAATTGTCTTAACATGATACATATATACACTTCTTTGATATCTGCACATTGTAGGGCAGCAGGGCATGGGAGTCGGACAGCTCGAGAGCAGCGAATATGATGCTAAGACAAGATTGCATTAGTGAAGTCTCACACTCACACACGCACACAGATGCACACCAGTGATATCTTGATGTAAACAGGGAATACAACACTGTTTTTGGATCCATAAGGGACGCTGTCTGTTTGTAAACATATAGGCTTCTTTCCTCCTGTAGCATGAGAAGCCTTGCGCGTTCACCAATGGGGTATCTAAATGTACTGATAATGATGATGATGAAAGGAAAACGTCCCGCTGATCTACACGTCCCGAACTCCGAAAAAGCAACTGAAATCAATAAGCGCCGAAAGCAAGACTCGTCAGGGCAATCGTAATCATGATTCCATAAGAACGTTCTGTTGAGGAAACCTGCGCATGCTTCCCCGTGGAGTAAGCTGCGGAAGGCGGGGAGCCCCAGAGTTCAACGGCTGACGCAGGTCGGACGGATCCGCCTACGCTTTGACTTGGGTGACACTGACCGTGCCCATGCCCGCGCCGCCGACTGCTGAGGCGGATGTCGATGCGGTAGCTGCTTTTCCCATGATCATGTCGCTCGTCTTGACGAAACCGCCTGGGAGAAGGAAGACGTAATCCTCGCGCCTACCAGACCGGTCGACAGAGAACTGTTGCCAGTCCAACTGGTATCCTACAACCAGATTGCACCGTCCACAACGCTGTAGGTAACGCTTCTCAAAGCCCTCGTCGCTGGTTATTATCTCAGCTTGGCGGTCTTGTCGGGTAGAGAGGAGGAGTCCATAGTGATCCTGCGACGGCGCGTTCTTGTTGCGGCCCGAAGTGGGTGCTGGCGGAAGCGGCATGATATGTGCAGCATCGCGTGTATGTTGGCGTTTGGGTAGAGAAGGGAGCGGTGTGGTGGTTGCCAGTAGGAGGTGGTTGCACAGGCAGTGATAGGTGTAGACTGTGTTGCTGGCCTGGAGGGAGATCTTCTCCTCAGGAGTGGGAGAGGGCATGGCAAAGTAAGCGCGGGAAGTAGTGGCGATATCCATTATGGAAGTTGTAGATGTGTGAGTGAGTAGTTGGATGGTTGTTGTATCGGAGATTTAATGCTTGTGAACCGTAAGAGGAGATGCCGAGAGACTTTTATATATAGTCGGCTAGGAGTGATGCGCGGTACCGATCAACGGAAACCGTGGTACGATGAGGACAGCGAGAAGGTGGGCTGGAGCGTGTGTGGTATTCGCGCTATGTAATCGGAGTGGAACGTTGTGGAATATGGTATATCCGACTTGGGGGCCAGAAGAGCAGAAAATCGGAGGTCCGACCCTCTTATACTTGGACCGAAGGAATCTGTAAACGAACCCTGATGCTGGTTCTTACGCTTAGGGAACAAGCGTACGTGGTGGGACTGTGGGGATCCTTCCTGTCTCGTCGTCAGGATGTAGGATCGCCGCAGCGCAGAGTGCCAAGTCAATCAATAGTAGCTTGTCGCTCGTCTGCACAAAGGCGGGTGAGGCGGAATCGTGTTTGTGCTGGAGGGTGATTTGTTTGAAAGACGGTCCGGGCTCGAAACCCAATACTCCAGCCAAGCTCACTTGTGAGACCCTCTTGGCGTGTCTTGCTGGTGGAGTTGCGGCTGTCCAAGTAGGCTAAGCTGGGAGTCAGAGGTGTGTGCTAGCAAAAAGGTCTGAGTAAAGGGTCCACCAGGTGGCTCCACAGTAGTAACGGGTATTGATAAGAGCAAACAGGACGTATTGGAGTCACACAGAGGCTATGTTGAGGAGGTAAGATTTATAGTGTAATAGGTGGCCGGCGGTGGATGAGTAAAAAGACAGAGCAGGAGGGCGGCGGCGGCGTCATGGCGCGTCAGCACGCACACGGAGCGGGCAGCCAAAAGCACAGGGCAAACCCCACGATGCGTCCCCACGGTGGTGGACGTGGATCTGGTTGTGCGAATGGATTTGCAGCAGCTCACCACGCGTCGCAGCTGTTTGGACTCTGATTGCGCCGCTGCAACTCATGTGACAGGAGCTGAGATTGGGCCGAGAACGGGGTCCTCTGCTCGCCTCGAGTTTCCGGTGTAGCGTCGGCGCTAAAGGGCAGTGGGGTGAAGGAGGTATGGCGTGCATACCGCAGCACGCAGTAGAAGGTGCGAGGAAAGTTCCGTGTGGTTTCAATCTTCGGCGCGCCGCCGCCGCCCGCGCGCGCCCTTGCGTTGAGACTGCTTGGCGCCTCAGTACTTGCGACGCCTGTTAGACACGACTTGAGGCGACGAACCGGGGAGAATGCCGCTCACAAAGGATGTCATCAAGTTCGGCACCTTTGTGGTGACGAACCAGGTGCAGCCACAAATTCAGACCACACACGACACAGGCTAATCATGCGCACATAGGTCTTCCACGTAACGCGCCTGTCCTTTGCCATAGTCAACCTCAAGCCCCTTCTGCCTGGTCATGTCTTGGTGTCGCCACGCCGTATCGTGCCGCGTTTCAACGATCTGTCCGCCGCCGAAGTGCAGGACCTATTCTTGACCGTGCAGCGGGTGTCCCGCATGGTGGAGCGAGTCTTCAGCGCCTCGTCCCTGAACATCGCCATACAAGACGGCGTAGACGCAGGCCAGAGCGTGCCCCATGTTCATGCACACATCATCCCTCGCAAGAAGGACGACTTGGAAGAGAAGGGTGGCACCGATGCTATATACGGCATGATGGAGAGCGAAGATGCGGACCTGAGCAAGCAGCTTGCCGACAGGGAGAAGGCAGCTAAAGCACATCTCGCGGGAGAAGAAAAGAAGGGGCGCTTCCCTGCTGTGGACAATGATAGCCGCAAGCCCCGGACCGACCAAGAGATGCAGGAAGAAGCCGAGTGGCTGGCAGAGGAGATGGCGAGGGACGGAAGAGACGAACAGAGCGTTGTCTGAAAGCCTTTGTCCAAACTGCATCTGCGCTCAATGCCTGGTCACCAGCTATGACCTCCTCCGCGTTCGAGCCTGAGCCTCGCGTCACTACGGATGGACCTCTGTCTCTTCTACAAACTTGTGCCTGTCTTAGACATAATACAGATAGGTTTTGAGGTCCTTCCTCTGTAGTTGACCCCATTTCGCCCATGTGCTATCGTACCTTTCACACTTGCCTGACGTCGAGCAGAACACTACTTTCGGAAACAGTGGGAAGGCTCGCTTGGCGATGCAGCCTGCAACTGCGCCCCAACACCACGCCGTCTTCTGGATCTCACGTCTCTGCTGCTGCCCTACTTGAACTGCTCTCTTTGGCACTCGCGCCGCCCAAATACATGTTCTCCCACTACTACACTGGTCGTCCCAGCTCACCTCAATACACCATTTCGAGTTCGTTGCTGCCTACGTAGAACAAGTGATCTTGGCGCACGTGGGCTTTGCTATTTGTCCCTGCTCATCTCGCCTGCTGAGTTCGTTGCGTTCACCCACTCGACTTTTGGTCACTACCGACACCTCTTACAAGTTCAACATCGACTAAGCCTCCTTGCCTACGAAACCATGACAAACTTCCGCCTTCTTGATCTTCCGGCGGAGCTCCGATACCATGTGTACTCTTTCTTGATCCCAAATGATATGGTCATCACATTTGAAAATTGTGGTTGGTTGAGGAGCGGCGAGCCTGACTGGACCACATATGGCATCCGAAAGGGTGAAGACGTTCCTAGCAGGATAGGTGGAAACCCCTTCTACAAAAACACATTGGTGCGCCGCTGGAACCATATCACGGTCGAGACGCAGCTATTTCGGGTGAGCAAGTTCGTTTCCAACGAGGCGCTATGTAAGTTGTCACCATATTTGCATTCACTTTTGTTAACTGTTTCAGCGGTTCTGTATGGACTGAATACCTATAATTTCACTGTCCATGGGCAAACCATGTGGCCAAAGTCACTACGGAGTCCGTTCGTCTTCGGACCTCTTGGTCATCCCGATCGACTCCCATTGTTACGCAATCTGCGGCGTATTCATATCGAGGTAGTTCCCGATATCAACAGCCATTGGGCCGTCAAGCGTCAGCGGTCACGACTAGAGTACCTTGTCGAAATCCTAAAAGAGTATGCAGATGATAGCGACCAGAAATCTCTATTGGAAGACCTGAAGGTCGATTTCCAGCTTACTTCACAAAAGCCAGCTCAATCTGCTTGCGGGAACACTGTTCGGGGCATCGTATATTCCTGTGTTCCCAAGGACACAGAAAAGTTCATGTTCGGTCTTGAAAGCCTTGCATACCTTCGCGGCATCAAGGACGTAGAGATTACTGGGCTACCAGAGTGGTATACGAAGTGTCTACAGTTATCAATCCAAGGTAGAGGCGGAGGCGTCGAGAAGATAGATTGGCCGCTTGTGGAATTCAGGCGCCGCGCGAAGGGGAACAGCACGCAGTGGAAGAAGTATTTGGTGTCGGCTCGCAAGTGGCATCAACCTACACTGAACTGGAAGGAGTTTGCCGAGCGCAACGAAATCACTACTCCAGCTGATATTGAGGATCTCTATGCGGCTGACGGGTAATGCTATTTGGTTATGATGTTTTTGTGTTGAGCTGCTCATGTTACTTTCATAGAGAAGCTGCAGAAGCGGAAGGCGACGGATGACATGTGATAGACGGGCTGCGTACGCTTCGTATTTAGCTCGTACAGCACACAAAAGAACCACGACCGTCAATAACTACATCATCACCTTTCTGGCCTTGAACGAACATAACGTTGAGTGCATGTACAGTCACAGACGTGTGACTCTTGCTGTCTCACTCCATGATGCGCGGCTTGCCCCACGTTTGCCGCTTGATTGGCTTGCGAGCACGACGCGAACTACGACCATGACCTAATGACTCTCCTATCGCGCCGCGGCCTTTATCGCCATCTGTCCCTGAACACATCTTCGGTGTGTAATAGAGCTTCTGTCTCCTTGTCCTCTATTCAGACATCTTCTTGCTGGGTGTACTAGCACTTCCTCTCTCTTGGACTTCATCTATACTCCTCTTCTCGTAGTTCACACCCTCAACGCCACCACAATGGCCGTCGGCGATATTCCCTCAAGCCCCCAGCAGGCAACTGCCCCACCTCAACCCATCGATATTGAAGCGTGGACCGAGCAGGCGACCGTTGCGCTCAGTTCTGTGGCCATATCTGCCCCTGGAGATGCGCTTCAGGGTACCTCGGTTACGCTTGCGATCCCGCTCGATGAACACGATGCGCCTGCAGCTGCCAGACAGCCCGTAGGTGCTTCAGCAGCTGCAAAGGAGGGCGGCTACTACCGTCGCAAAGAACCACTCCGCCGCGACAGCTTGAAGAGGCGTGAAGCTCTGCTAAAGGGCAAAGAGGGGTCTAGGCGCAGGCAGCGTTGGGAGAATGGTACGTTGAGGGTGTCCCCTCCCCCTCTCTCAATGACACTTTGCGCACTACAACACGGCTCTGTCATCACCACTTGCAATTTAAGCAATTCATTCTTCAAAGTACGCGTCCATTGATTTCTAGACAGACCGTCTCCTGAACAACCCCTACGCCGAGCCTCCACTGCCAAAAGACTGGGAAGTTCATCCTACCTACACGGCTAAAAACGTGCCCTACTATCTTGCTCCCCTCTGGGATGCCGGCCTTAAGCGCCAGTCCAACGAACGCAAGACCGCTGCAGTCGCTCAAAAGGCTGCGACCAAGACCGTAGCCAACAAGCCCACAACTCCCGGTGTCGTGCCCAAGGAACTGCGCGAGAAGCTCAAGCGATCGCGCGGCGCCAAGGGTCTTCTCATGGACCTCGAGGGCGAGGTCCGCAAGTTCGTCGCCGACTGGGAGGAGAAGGAGCGCAAGGCAGAGCAAGATGGCTTACCTGCTGATCCAGACAGCGAAGACGACGAGATCGTCTTTGTTGGAAGGAACGGACAGATGAACGATCTACGCTCACCCACAGAGGCTGAGGCTATCAAGAAAGAGCTCATGCTCTTCGAGACACCTGAGGAAGACGTTGGTGGCAGCTTTGGACGCTGGCTCGTACATCATATCGGTGTCTACTATGGCTTGAAGACGTGGAGTGTCACTGTTGGCAACCCAGCCAGGCGCGAAGCATACGTTGGCTTGAAGGGCGCGAAGCTCAAGGCAGGAAACAACGACAGCCAGGTCTGCAGCTCTTTGCCGCGACCACTCTATGGCTTGGTCTAGTTCTCCGTGGCCTCGAGCTCGTCTCGAGACCCCTCGCATCCTCTACATTCGCTTGTTCAGTCTGCTTTACTCATGTATACGGCCTGACACGAGTTTATACTCGCACTGCATCTGCATATAGACGGATGGGTTGTTACCATTGAATTATATATGCCGCTTTTGTTGACAGTCTTGCTCAACAGCTAATCGTGCTGCTTTTGCTATGCCGCACGCACCAGCAACTCGTCATCCAGAGCATTCGCCGTTTGTACCGTGATGAGAATATCCTGTGGTTTATGATGCACAGGATAATGTACCACCACCCCATAATTATGTACGTGCATACCTACAAACCAGGGCTTTGCAGCATGAGAAGGGGTGTGTCGGTGTCCAGAGTGAAACCCATGACGAGTACTCTGACGGTAACGACTTAGATGACGTAGAGGGTAGAGGTGACTGAGACGGAAGCTATAGAAAGAACATGCGGCTATCAATAGGGCATTGTGCTAGTATATAATTCCTTTCCGCAAATCCTGTAACATACAGTGCTGAAGGTATGCATATGTCACATATATTTAGAGAGCTCGATGATTCTTGAGCATCGTTCATGAGGTTGATTCATAAATATAACATCGTTGGCTGTTCGTGCAATGACAATAAACCATTCAAGTCGACTGTACAACTTAGATCTCATTACATCCTATCCGACGCTACTCGAACTTTGCAAAAGCAAGTTCGTATGCCAGAGCAAGTGTCATCCGCGCATGCTGAAGCATGTGGTCGAAGCTTAGAAACTCAATCTTGTCCTCGGTTGTGTGAATCTTGTTGTCGCTGTACTTGAAGTCTGACTCAATGACGAAAGCTGACGGGTAGCCGGCCTTGGATGCGCTGGCATGATCGGAACAGGCGTAACCACACTTGGTCAGGACATACGGAATGCCGCAGTAGACAGTGATGATCTGCTTGATGAACTCGGTGAGGCCAGGATCAACAAAGTCGGTAATGACACCAACAGACTCTGGCTCGCCTGCATCGAGCGTCTTCTGAACGTAACCAGTCATGTCCTGCTGAAGCATAGCCTTGACTTTGCGAGCCTCCTTCTCGTAAGACTGGAAGATGGCCTGCGATCCTAAGAGACCTCCCTCTTCGGCAGAATACCAGTGAAACTCAATTGTGTTGTCTGCCTCGCCCTTGAGGATCTCCTTCGACTTGAGCAGTACGCGTAATGCTTCGAGGATGGTAACGGTACCGCTGCCGTCGTCGTCGGCTCCTGGGGCAGCCAAGAGAGATGGGAAGAAGAGGTTTATGCTGTCTTGATGGGCACCAATGACAATCGTATTATCACTCTTGCCAGGGATTGTGGCAATGATGGAGGATTGGCCCCAGGGGTGGGGAAACGCCTTCACGGAGGCGTTGAGAGCGCCTGCATCGGCGAGAGTCTTGTCGACCTGCTCAAGAAGCCATGCCGAGCTCTCTGCACCGTATTTCGACTTGTAGTATCGGGTGTGGAATGAGGTAAAGGTCTCGAGATGCTCGCGCATGTTGTTCTTTTCCAGCTTCTTGAGTAGCGGAGCGATGGTTTCATTGTAAATGGGCTTTTCGGGGAACTTTACGCTCTCAGTCTTGAACTGGCGGTTGAGCGTACCGAGCTCTTCGTTGTGCGTAATGTCGAAGAAGTTGATGTTTTGCTAGGCCATGTCAGCGACAAGCCTCTGAACGTACATCACGCGGATAGCTCTCGACGTTGGGTGGTTCTCCATACCTTACGCAGCTCCCACTTCTCGTCTTCGGTGACCCATCTTGTCTCGCCAGGTGATAGCTCGATGAGATACTCATCCGGCTCGACGATAGTAAGCTGCGGCTCTTGCAAGACGACTTGGGGGTCCTTGGGATGTGAAACCGTAGCAGCAAAGGCTGCAGTGTAGAGTGGTAGCAATAGCGTAGTTGACTTCATGTTTGCTGAGAACGAAGATGGTAGTGAGAGCTATGATAAGGTGCAGCCTGGAGACCTATCGGTGGTTGACGCGGTGATGCGGAGATAGCGGTGGAGCTGTCGTAATCAGGTTAGCGTGTTGTCGCGACGTCACGCGTCATCTGTTCCGAGGTTCCTTCACGGCAACCCTTGAGGCTGTTTTTCGCTCGCGTCACACACACATACATACTTCAAGACCATACACGTTCTCAAATAACACGACTCTGCATTGCATTCTGATCCATGTCTTCTATGATAAACAGAATATATGTCTATGGTATCAATCCTTTCGCCTGGTCTACACACGCTGACAATGCTTTCTCACGCATCTGATATCTGCCACGGTTTATCAGGCGTCCACATGACACTTGCCCATTGAGAAACTCTCTGACGATGCTCCGAGCCTTCACTATGCTTGGTTACAGCCAGTCCCAATCTGAGCACGCCCGTGGCAATCGTCCGCCAGTGGATGCCCATAACAATACCTAATTAGACGGAACGACCAAGCTCTCGTAATAGAGCCCATTGGTTTCTCTCAGGCCCGCAAAACACAAAATCGATTGCTTCTGGATACCGTAAAAAATTCGTTGTCCGGAATCCGGACGCTTTCTACCTTGGTTCGAGCCTCTAAGGATATGACGTTTGATCCACTAGACGCTCTACACTCGAACAATGACTGCTGTTCTTGCTGTCCTCGGTGTGGCTCTTGCTGTTCCTCTTGCGGCTTTCCAGGAGTGCTCTGACGTCTCTGATCGCGCTGCACCCTCTTCACCAATTTGTAGAAGGACTTTATAGGATGCGACTGCTCCATCTTCACCCATTCCATTTGACGCCCAGGGATTCCTGACTTCTTGCAAGCCGTGTGCAAATTCCGGGCCAGTTTATCAATCTGATTATCTTTCAAGTCGTTCTCCATCAGAGACAACCTCAACACTAGAAAAGATCGTTCAGGATTTTGTCTCTGGAATGAAGCGTCTCTTTGGGCGCTGTAATTGAGGTGGTGAAGATCGATATTCCGGGTTTCACGCTGGAGGCGGTTCCATATAAGTGCAGTATCAGACGTTCGTTTTTTGTTAATCGTCTCCCAGAGCCGGTATACGGAGAAGCTTTCTCCCTTGGAGTCTCGAATCAATTCTTCGAGTGAATCACAAAACGCCGTGGTGAACGATTTTTCTCCTGGACCATTCGTATTACCTTCGAACGTCGATGCTGCCAACAATTGATATGCTCTCAACTCTATGCTTCTACCCTTCACTGCTGCAGTGCTAGCGCAGCAACAGTCTAGGATGGAAAACACATCAGCTCTGGCGAGAGTACGCAAAGGTTCCTCTGCTAGGCCCCAAAATGCGACCGGTGCAATGTCACCATGTCCGCTCGAGTCTTCTGTTCTGAGTAACGTTAGCATCACATCATCACACAAAAGATTTATGCCTTACGCAGACAGCTCAAGATTTCGAACCTGACCATTTCGAACCTGACTTCCATGGCCTGTGTAATACACAATGAGCAGATTGTCATCTCCGTCATGTTGGCGTATATGCTGGAGGATCTTGAGGTTGAAATCTACTTGCGGATGGTCATCTTTGATGCTTGCGACCGTGACCCCATAGCCAAGATCGGAGAAAATGCCCTCCAATCTTTGGACCTGGGAATTGTATCAGTATTGGCATTCTACTTCCATGGATCGAAGCTTCACCTCCTGATTGTGGCCCTTTCCAAAATCATCGATGCTTTCATCCCAACGGAGTATGAGAACTTCGACTTTGCGGTATCCGTTGGGTATGTCGAACTGGTTATTGGATATCTTCTGGAACAGGGTTCGCCTTGCCGCTTCACGTTTCAGTTCTTCTGCGTCATCACTAGGGCGCAATGAGGTGGTAGTTTCGATCACAATTGGGGAGTTCTGACGGGACAGGTTCTTCGGTGTAGAGTTTTGACCGGCATTGACATACGTGGCATTACCATGTCGTACGGTGGAATGACGTGAGGCTGTCATAGTGGGATGAATTCCTGGGTTGAACTCGCTGCGCAACACGACAGAAAGCATTTGCCTTATGTAACCCTATCGCGTCGTTCGTCGCGGTAACACAGCCATCATGAAGGACCTCAAGCGGCTGTGTACTCACTACTCAGCCCAATACCTTGTTCGTCACGTTCATCAGTCGCGAGAACACCTGTTCGCCTAGTTTGCCTACGGGTCCGCCTTGGTATCTATTGGCTTGCGGGATCTCGATACAACCCCGCTATCGTCCTCCAACGCCACCACTTTATCCGCCAACCATAGCGCGAACCGGTCCTACCTTACAAAGCCGTGCTCAATCTTTCATTGGACGAACGGGGGATATGAGGCTCAAACTCCAAATGAGGGCCGGTCCGATCGCTCATGGGGTACTTTGATTGCCTGTAGGACTGGCTACACTATGGCCCTCTCGCGAGGCTATGACTATAAGAATCACTGCTGCGCACAGGTCTGCCTTGCTGCCTTGACACCTTAATATTTCTGGTCTAGAGGACCTGTACTCAAGGCGATCAATCTTTTGAAAGCGGGCATTGGTTGCCTGCCATGTCCTCTCAGGTAATGTCACACGGACCGCATTTTCACGTGCGACCTTTTATTAGGTTCACGCTGACCGGAGCTCTGTCATTTCTATAGGCGACTATACCCGAAGGTGAGCGAAAGAAAGCCAACGTGGCACGAGACGCGAACGCCGCTGAGGTGAGTTCAAGCGATACGCTCCTAGGATCAGAGACAAACTGACCGGCCCTCTAAAGCGCGTAGCAGGTTTCAAGGTTGGGGATAAAGTCAAAATGAAAGTCATAGAATCTCTGGAAGATGGTAGTACACGAACTAGCTTCAGAACGTTCACAATTTCTACTGCGCACGACAATGGTCTTCGATGGGTTTACCAGCTTAGCAACTCTGAGGGCTCGTTGCACGAAGATGGCGCCCGGTTCCCCGAAACAGAACTGAAGGCCGCTTGAAACTCATCTCCACCGGAAAGCTAGCCTTGCGCTAATCAATCAACAACCTTCACGGCATAGCCACCACCTGTCGTATCTCAGCCTTATGTGACGACTGCTTTGTCTTAAGAAGCCTTTACTTTTCCACTTCTTTCGTAAAGCATCTTTTCAATCTGATAACAGATCTCATGGTTTTCTCCACAACATGCAATCCTCCGCTCCATTCGCCGACGTCGAGAAACGTGGGTCAAATAGCTCGCAAGGCTCTGGAGATGCTGTCATCGACATCGACATCGATATCGGCAGTCGTGCAGTCACGCTAGTGAATAAGGACATACCCCGTTCGTGCTCCGCCCCCTAGCAATGCCTCCTGAGTCGTACTGAAACAATCTTCCAGGCCCAAAACTATCTCGTGCTCAGATAGATAAAGAGATTAACACAACTAAGACCATACCTTGTGAGATTCGCCCATCGAATCAGCCTTATGGCATATCACTAACGTTCTTATCAGTGCAGGATTATTCGACAGGCTACCCCCTACAAGCAGCCTTCCAGTCGAGTGAGTCAAGCTGGTCCATTTACCGTGGCTTCAGCTATCTTCACGCTCGTGTCATACTTGACTTGCAAGACGAGTTACGCTGTCTGGAAGAAGACCTTGAAGAGATAGATCTCGAGAACGAGGGGGAGAACCGGCTGCGCTCCCGTAAAGATGACCTCAAGTACGCAAAGGAGAAAGGTGTAGTGAGCCCGCGTGCATGCATACTGGACAACATAAGGAGCAAGCTCATTAGCTACGGTCGGTAGTTGATCCTTTCGCGATTTCGCAGCGTTTAGCTGACTCTTTGATTAGATGAAGTACTTCTCAAAGCCAGAGAACTCAACGCTTTCCAACGACCGTCGAAGCGCGATTATCGCAGCTTTCGCACATGGTTTTGGAACAAGAAACCGCTCAGCTACGAACTAGAAGAGCAGTTCATAAAGCGCAAAGAAGACCTCGTTTCACTCCGACATGGTCGCGAATGGTCTGGTTTTGATGGCTTCATCGAGTCGTGCATCCAGAGAGTGCATTGTCGCATCGTCCAGGTATGATCTTTCGCATCCACTTCAAGATTTACACTAAACAATACATAGAGGATCTTCGCAACCAAAGAGCTTCGTGAGAAGACCAACGACGAGCATGTGCACTACTATTCACAGTCTCGTATTGAGAAACTCGTCGGTTTATTTATTACGCTCATAATCTTCATACTACTTGTACTTCCAGTCGTCGCCATGTACAAGTTGACCTCTGTAGGAGACCGCAACTCCACCTTTGACGCCGTCGGCCTCTTGGTGGTGTTCACATTGCTGTTTTCGGCTGCTATGAGCCTTTTGACCAAAGCCAAACGCCACGAACTCTTTGCTGCAAGTGCAGCGTACTGCGCAGTGCTGGTAGTGTTCATCAGCAACTTCAATAACGATTCGAGTCGCTGATAGGATCGAACCGAATTCAATAACGTGCGGTACAAGCGGTAGCATCTCTCTTGGTCTTTTTTTGTTGTGCAATTCCTCGTTACTTGTCCTTTTCTTCATCTGGCCGCTGGTTATGTGCTTGTAATGTAGACCATCCTATAGGTATGATAGTTTCAGAGTTCCTTTTGAAGCTGGTATTTCCAATCACGGACCATGTAGAACATAAGATCAATGTATTCAGGTTTCCTCGTATCTGGGTGGTCCCCAATGCCGGTCCCCTGATGACCGTGGTATAACCTCGAGCCCTGGGAGCAAATCTGTAGGGGCGTACCAGTAGTAGGCTAGATCCAGGGTCAGAGATCGCCATTCTATTGACGTCGGTGCCCGGCACTGGCACGAACACCTTTTCATGTATGAGGTAAGTTACGGAAACATGTTGATCTCCTTAATAACAATAGTTCTTCAAGTACTACACAACTCTCAGAGCAATGTGTTGTTGTTATCTGCTATGGTCGTTGGTAATGCGGGGGACTTAGCTCCGGGTGGGGAAAATCGTCAACAGCACGATAAGACCTCGGGGTTATAATGATATACTCTCTACGAAGCTTGCTCAGGTGACACCTTCAGAACTCATTACACAAGCTTGCAGCCTCTCGACCAAAATGACCGACCCACGAATTGTTCTTATCACCGGTGGCAATACTGGCATCGGCTACGAAAGCGTCAAGGCTTTGTATGCTTCGCCACAACCGCACACCATCCTAATGGGTAGTCGCTCCCTCGAGAAGGCGGAAAATTCAATCTCCAAGCTCAAAGCCGAGGTCTTGGAGTCCGAATCGGAGGTCGTACCGATACAGATCGACATTGAAGACGATGCATCTATTGAGAAAGCGTTTAGAGAGGTCGAGAGCAAGTATGGAAGGCTTGATACTTTGGTCAATAATGCCGGTAAATGTCTTCCTTTTCTCCGTCGATATGATAATCTGATTCATGGTAGGTGGATCATTCGACGGCATCATGCGCGAAGATCCTAGCCCCAAGGGCATCCGCGCAGCTTGGAATAAAGCCTACTCTCTTAACACAACCTCCACCCATGTGATAACACATGTCTTTGCGCCCCTCTTGATCGCCTCCTCTAATTCTAGGCTTATCTTCATTACCTCTGGTCTGTCCTCTTTAGAGAATTGCTCCGGCAGTTTTGACTCCAAGCTCCTCAACACGCCACCGCCAAAGGGCTGGCCTAAGCCACCATCCATGGCTCAAACAGCATATCGCTCTAGCAAGACTGCTCTGAATATGCTGATGCTGCACTGGGCGAAAACTCTTGGCGTGGATGGTGTCAAGGTATTCGGTATCAGCCCCGGGTTTTTGGCTACAGGACTGGGGGGTGCGGGGCCGGAAATGATGAAAAGATGGGGTGCTGGCGATCCAAGCATCGGTGGTGGCTTTATCAAGGATGTTGTCGAAGGACAGAGAGACGATGATAGCGGAAAAGTCATTAACAAGGATGGCGTGCAGTCTTGGTAGATCTGACACCTACAACATGATTGGCCACCGCAGGTCACACAACCTTAGTGGTGTCTAATAATATCTACTCATGTCCGTCTCGCACTGTTGATTTGTGATCCAAGCAGCCCAAGTCTGCTATGCCAATGTCCTTACTCTGCAGCTATTTTACTGATACCTAACTATGTTAAGTTCATCCTCCAATGTATACTTGACTCTACCAGTAGCAATCTATTGGGGCATAGCTCGAAAGATCGTGCATTACACTGCATATTATGATAAGGCTGACCCGCCTCGCAATTACTTTCGATTATTGCTCTTCCAAAGTTCTTCAAATTCCTCTTCAACAACTTCTGTGATGGATGTAGAGCCTTCTGCCGCATAACAGAATTGCATCCGATATAGATATTGCATCGCGTAACACTGTAGCTCGACACGAGTGTAATTGCAATACTTTCGCCACTCAGCCTTGTGTGTTGACTTACCTTCTTAGGTATCTCGTGGTCTTTTCCGCCCCCACCACCTAAATGCATAAGTCTATCGTTTCCGCCGTCACGGATTGTCGTGATAGGCTCATTGGAAAATCACACTATGCTGCGCCTCGTCACCTTCGGCCCTTCCTTTCTTGGGTTCTACGGTATGCTTCTTTATCTATCAATATGACAATCTTGTTTGTACGTGCATTCTACATGGATATATGAAACGCCTCAGGTCCAGCCCCAGAGAAATTTCGGTTTCATTAGCCATCATATAGAAAGCCGTTAGTGCCCCTAGAAAACACGTCAAGATCGTTGCCATGGAGTCTGAGCATGAGTCGGTGTATCTTGGAATCTGGACGAATTGGTCTCATGGCTCTGTTGCCGGACTCACACTCACAACCACCCTGCAAAATGGCGGCTTGCTTATTGCTTTCCTCGCGCTTTTCGTAAGTAAATTCCTTGTATGAGCCATGTTCTTACATGTGCTAACTTCGTTCACTAAATTCAGGTGACCTTTACTGGAACATGTTTCTGAGCAATCGTTTCGTTTTCTATCCACCAAAAGATGAGTAGGAAGGCACCCCAGAGTGCATTGTACCACCAACAACAAGCGATACTTCGAAACTCAGACACAAGCACAGCAGCGCTATGGAGGCTGTCAAGGATGTCTTGGACCTGGCGCGGAGTTGTGCCATTGGCCATGCTCAAATCTGTCTCGCTGCCACTAGTCATGAGCTTAGCAACTTTCTGCGCCTTCACTACCGCTGGAGTGTTTTCTTCGCGAGTTGCTACATCGAGAGGCAGTGAGGTTCTTGTCGTAGGCGATAAATGCGCTACGCTAAACGGGTCGCTTTTCACAACACAAAACATCCGCTCGTCACAATCATATCTTGCTAGTCGAATCAGATCGAGCGCCAACTATGAAGCAAGTTGCTATGGGAAGTCCAGGTCGGCAGAGAACTGTCGCACTTTTGTCCGGGATACCCTTCCGATAACGATCACAAAGGGCAATACCTGTCCTTTCCCAGGAAATGATAGGATATGTCGTTCGCCGGCATCTGCCCTCCGTCTGGATTCCGGATTCTTGGATAGTCACCGCGACCTAGGTATCAATTCGCAGCCATCCTCAAGATTTCTCTATCGAACTGTGAACGAATGTGCTCCGATAAAAGACGAAGGTTATATGAAGTGGAACACATCAGCGAGACCACGGAATGTCCAGTTTCTGTACGGAAACGATCCGGTGATATGTGGAGAGGACCAATCCGGGTGTACTAGGCAGTTCGATGTTGTGCGTTTTGGGGAGGGAGGACCAAGAACAGCTCGCAGTGAGTACGGTATCTCGTGAGTATAGCTAATGGAAAGACATGTCTCGTCACTAACACCTTGGTCAAGTTTAACCACACGTTATGACGTACGCGTTGAAGACAACCTTCAATCCCATGACTCATGGCAACCTATCCCTGAACTTTCAGTCTCTGATGCTGATGTAAGCGTCTTCTTCCTTGAGACGAACGATATCGTTTACTCGACGCCTGTCGTCGATCCGTGGTTTGCCGCCGAAGAGGGTCCCTTCAGCCGTTCCACGAGTTACGGGAATATCACCTACTACCAAAGTAATCTGCCGGTGAAAGCGCTAGCGTGCGTACAGCAGTACCAATTTTGTAACCCTTCTTTAAACCACAATGAAAGCTGCACGCCATTGATGGGTATATTCGAAGCAGCAAGATCAGCTCCTGCAACAGTGTTCTCACAATCCAAAGACATCGATCGATTTCTCTGGTCTCTAAGTGCCATCCAAAACATGGCTGGAGGTTTCACTGAAATCAGCATGGTCTTAAGAGGCGGATCTCTCCTAGCAAGTGACTACGTGTCTCAATTCGGACAAGATGGCCTACCTGATAATCAGTGGGAACTTGAACTTGAACATTGGTTCAAGTTCACCATGGCCGATCTACAACGGGCGATAGTTGATCAAGCGACTGGTCCAGTCGTACCAGAGGCTCAATCATTCCACTCACCGCCTACGTCTCCCGAAGCGCGAGCAATCTGTAGCAACCAGAAGATTCGGAGCGATTCCTATACTTCCTTCAATGTGCTCGGCCTTATCTTGATATTCTCCCTTGGTAGCCTTATAATGCTCATCTCGGCTTGCCTACCAACCGTTACTGCGCGTGTGCAAAGGTACAAAAGCCCGTTTGCCAGTATCGAATGGGTTACAAGCGATACGTTGCAGCTCCAGCGGCTTGCACATGAGGCCATTGGCGCTGGGCAGTGGGAGGGCGCATGCGACGACTATCCGCGAACACGAAAAGGCGATCTTCTGGCTGTAATCGACATCTCTGGCCGGCAGCATCCAATACTCCGAGCTCCTGGAGAGACCAGAGTTCCAAAAGAGGTGAAGCACGCAGATTGTCAAGGAGATGAGAAGAGGGTGTCAGAAGAGCAAAGGAACGACTCGGCCCAGGAGTCCCTATTAAGTGTAGAGCTCCCACGCATTTCCTTGGAGCTATCGCATCATTTCGCAGCTGGAGTATGTTAGTTTGCGCATAGATACTTGATTTTCTAGGACAGCTCGTACGAATGAGAGAAAAGTCTCAACAAATTCATGGACGATATACTTAGCCTACCCATGTTGATGATGATTCTGGAAAGCAAAGGCACGACACCGGGGATCGCGTGCGGATGACGACATGACGCGTGCCTCGGTTACTTAGGACGTTATCGATAAAACGCCTAGGCATGCTGCACTATTACAAACCAGCCCTCAAAACCACTGCGAAATAACAAACACTATTGAAAGATAAGAGCTTCACATGCCAACAACACGAGGCCAAAAGCGCGACGCGGAGATGGAGGCAGCACTAAAACTCTTTTTCTCAAGCCCACGCTTCGCAGTAGCCGGCGCTTCTTCCGATCCATATAAATACGGGCACAAAAGTATGGTAACATCGGTTCTTCCAGTCGTACCTTCCGTACACCATATCTGATGATATGTTATAGTCTTCGCGTGGTATCTCCAGCACTCTCTCCCTGCGACGCCACTAAACCCAAAGAGCCCGACTGTCACGATATTAAACCGTGCTCATACCACTGTGCCTTCACCACTCGCTCTCCAAGATCCACCAGCATCAGATTATTCTCTATCGGTCATCACGCCACCTGCCGTTACAAGGCAGTTGCTCAAAGAGGCGAAAGAGGCAGGCATTCCCGCCGTATGGCTGCAGCCTGGGAGCTTCGATGCAGAGGTTCTGGAGTATGCGCAAGCTAACTTTAAGGCGGCGATTGGTGGGAATGGCGGAAGGGGAGGAGAAGGATGGTGTGTACTTGTTGATGGAGAGGAAGGATTAAGGGCAGCTGGACGAGAGGCGTCAAGACTTTGAACCGGATGGAAGATCGATTATACAGTATGTTCTTCGCTCTGCTCCGAAGTTTGGAAATGCCCGATGATGTAGATTGCTCACGGAAGTCTATGATTACAAGTCGCTGCGCAATCCAGTTTTCACTTCCTCTCATCAGCTGGCCCCTCTCAGCCCTTCTTCCACGCGCTTTCCGTCTCAAGCCAAGTCGCAAAATCCTTCATCCCCGGATTCACCTTCTTGCATCCCTCAACATCTGCGCCAAATCCCACGTCACGGAACCAATTGAACATATATCCAAGCTCTTTTGACATCCAGCACAACGCGCCGGCAACAAATCGATAAGTCATCGGAAGCTTCTCTCCCGTCTTCTTCTCGAACGTTTCTTTGAATTGCTGAAAAGACAATGCCTCGCTTGCTAGCGATATGCTCTTGTCCTTATATACCGGATCGTCATTTTTGAGAAACGCTTGAGCGGCGAAGAACCCAATGTCACTGGTGCCAATTAATTGCAACTTCTTTTCCCTAGGCATCTTGATCGCCCAACTCGTGGTGAAGACCTTGCCAAAGAAATTCGGTGTCAAGTTTTCGAAGAAAGCTACAGGACGCAGGACCGTGTACGTCATGCCACTTTTCTTGGCCTTAAAGAAGAGGTGCTGCTCGATGTTGTGCTTCGTGATGAAGTGTGGGACTACTGTCGGATCTGTGTCCGAGTTTGCACCTCCACGGTCCGCAGAGGAGAAGATGAAGTGGGATACACCATTCTTGATGGAAGCATCCACAAGGTCTTTGCCTTGTTTCTCTTCGTTCTTGCCGAGGGCCTGTGGGACTATTTAGCAAAGCCCAATGGTCAATCTTTGAAGCGCGCTCACCTGAACGCTGTAGACCCCCCAGATTGGGGCCTGCGTCGATTTTCTGGCTGTCTCGAATATCTCATCGACTGCATCAAGGTTTCCAGTGACTAGCTTGATGTTCGGAGACTTTTGCTGAAGCTTCTTGGATGATGAAGATTGAGCATCCCGCGTAAGGGCTAGGATCTCATAGGGTGCGTTCGCTTTCAGTAAGGCATCTACGACCGAGCCACCTTGCTTGCCAGTTGCACCCGTGACAAGAACTGTTCTGAGAGCCATGGATGGTTGATAAAGTATTATATGATGAGGTTGAGGCGAAGAAAGCGTGACTTTGACTGTTGTCGATATTGGAAATTGGGTAACTTCTGCATGTCTTATAAGGGCCCATTATGTGACGTATAATGTTAAGGCATTATCAAAGCATTGCAAGTTCGCATGGTGTTGCACGCAGCGAGCGCGCGAGCCGGCACATTGTTCGTCCGCTTTTGGCAGTGGCTGACATAAATGACGCTGATTGGTGCTCGGCCTTCCGAACAACGAACGCGAGGCGGCATGACAGAGCGATCCTCCCGGTCACAGCTCCATCACATTATGTAAGCTAACAACATAAGGTAACCATGTGGATGCTCATTGACAAGTAGCGCATTAGAGCGCAAAAAAGGGTATATGTATATGCTAACTTTACAGTTCCTAACATTCCGAAATGACATGTATCGCGTTACTTAGCCAATGAAAGTTACATCTCCTTCGCAACAGCCTCTAGAGACTCCTTGAAGATGTTGCAAGCCTGGCTCAATTCCTCCTCGCTGATTGTGAGTGGTGGGATGAATCTCAGTACGTCGAACACGGAGGTACTGAGAAGAAGCATGTCTCGCTTGACACACTCCTGTACAATCTTGGGTGCTATCTGCGGCTGACTCTGACCATTACGTGCGGCGGTGTTTGACGAGTCGCGTTGTAGCTCCGGGTTCGCGAACTGCACACCGACCATGAGACCTGATCCACGAACATCTTCGATCAAATTGCCGGCCTTAGTCCCAGAAGACTTGAGATCATTGAGGAATGAGAATATTTGCTTGGAGCGTGCAGCGACGTTATCTAGAATCTTTTCCTCGTGGAAGGCTTTGATTGTTGCTGTCGCGGCGGCGCATGCGACTGCGTTGCCCGCATATGTTCCACCCATCGATCCGGGTTTCTGGAGATCCATGAGCTTCTTGCTGCTGGCGATACCAGATAGAGGGAACCCATTGGCAATGCCCTTTGCGAAGACAAGAATGTCTGGCCGTACGCCCGACTCTTGGACAAACCACTGGTGTCCCGTACGACCCATACCAGATTGGACTTCGTCGGCGATGAAAAGGACATTGTGCTCGTCGCATATTTGCCTGACACCATGTAGGAACTCTGGAGGGGCTGGGACGTAGCCTCCCTCACCCAGAACAGGCTCCAGGATTACAGCAGCGGTGTCTGCCGGAGACGTTTGCTGCTGCAGAGTAAGCCTCAACTGAAGCAGTGCCTGGCTCACGAGCTGGTCCTTTGGTGTGTCTGGTGGGAGGCCAAACTGGCTATAGTATGGGAACGCAGACGCGAAGACGCCGCCCATTAGCGGGCCATGACCCTCACCATAGATAGTCTTTGATCTCGTCATCGATGCAGTGGCGTTTGTGCGGCCATGGTAGGAGCCTTGCATGACGATGATGTTGGGCTTCTTCGTCGCGGCACGAGCCAGTTTAACGGCGGCTTCAACCGCCTCAGCACCCGAATTCCAGAAGAAGACGGTATCGAGTGATTCGTGCGGGAGGATTGGAATCAGCTCTTTGAGAAGAGCGATCTGTGCGGAGCTGAAGCCAATGTTGACTTGGGCGTGGGTAATCTTGTTGCATTGTGCCGCTGCAGCGGCACTGACCTTGGGGTGACAATGACCAAGGTTCACGACTCCGATGCCAGCAGTCATGTCCAGCAGCTTAACGCCCTTATCCGTGGTGATGAAGGTGCCCTTGCCATCTTCGAAGACATGCTTTGTGAGGCGGCCAATGCCCTTTGCAATGTGTTGTTCGCCGAATGCCGCTGTATCCATGTCGGAGGACGCTCGTCGTGTAGTAGTAAACGTTCGTAGATTCGTTCGGACGGGTCGTGGGAAAGAGGATGCAAGGCTGCGGGAAGCTGGCACGCCGGCTCTAAGAAAGGTAGTTGTCTTCATTATGTATCGTTGTGATGGTAGTGCTACGCTCGAGCGCCGTGGAGTATAATGCGGAGGGGTTCGGCTTGAAACGGCCTGACGTAGCTAGTACGCACCGTTCGTCGTTTATCTCCGAAAATAGACGCCTTACACGCGTTCATGTGACCTTCGCGACAATTCACGGTAGTCAACAACTCAACTATAACATGCCTACTAACCCATTTGGGCAATTCAAGAGAATTTATCGCCAAGACTGTGTGTATGTTTTGCCCAGTAACAGATTGTCTACACGCCCCACACGCCCGATCTCTGTAGAATGACCACCAGCTGTTGCTTGGGCAGATTTTGTTTCAACTATGACTACTCGTATGCCGCTCTTGACTCGGCGGCCCAACACACCACCTTACAAGCAACTGAACCGAAGTATACTGATTGGACGGTAGCTTCAACATCTATGACTATCTTACAAGCGTGGGGTATATCGGGAGATAAACGATGAGCTTAAACTGCCTTCTTCGGCCTATTCTCGGGTAGTGCAGTACTTCTCCGCAACCTCCTAGAACGTCAATGGACTGTGGTTCTATGGAGAATACAGCATGATGGGAGCCTTCCACGATTACGTTCAGAATATAGAGAAAATTGGGTGGCGCATGTTCGTTAAACTGTTCAAAGCCTTTGGTTCTTCGACTTCGCTCGGTTTTCCTTTGATTGTAGGCACATAGTCTCAGACATGGCTTCCCTCCTTACGGTCCCAAGACATTGACCCATGGTTTCCATGGCCTCCGGCAATTGTTGATGTTACAGTGAACTTAGTCTCCTTGATAATGTTCTTCTGCGAGTCGCCGTCGCTATGATCAGCGTCATCATTGTCACCCAAAGTCTGGAATGTGTCCATAGCTATCCCACGCGAGCGCAAGGTGGGCTGCCTGCCATTCGTCCCCGATTGGTATGCTCTTCCACTGGATGCGGCAGGTGTATTAGAGCCTGCGGATACCCTGATGCGAAGGGAGAGGAGAGGGCGAAGAGGAGGCAGTGAGCCGGCGATGAGGCCGATGCCTACTTCGGTCAGAGACCAGAAGCCGATTTTGCCCGTACTGTACATGAACTCGCCAGGGTCACTGTAAAGCGTGAGGTACTTCAGGCGCACGATGGTGGCGCACGATGCACTGAGTCAAGTTAGTTGTTGGCCACGTAGTATGAGGGGTGGTGGATGCCCTACAAAGAAGCGAGCGCTAGCATCACCGCCACTGAAGCCTTGACAGCCCCCTTCATCTGAACATTCCAAAGCAGGATCGCTGGCATAATGGAGAGACTGAAGTCTGCTGCAATTTCGATGGCTGAATAGAATAGACTGACGTTCGTGTTGAGCTGCAGATTGCAGGTGCCGTTTGACTCGCCCCAGAGAGTGTTGATAGGGTGACCTAGTCGAGTCGTTAGCAACGGTATGTACCCCATATAGAGCAAGTTGACCCACAGATATTTGCGATACCTATACAGAAAACAAGGGCTGCAACGATAGTAGCCCCAATAAGAGCCCGCAGACCCCATGTGAAGAATTGACGATTGGCGGCGATACGGAGAAGCGCCACTGCAACACTGATCTTAACGAACATGGCGCTGACAGCATAGAAATACTCCGCGATATAGAAGAGCTGGTAGACGTCAGTTTGGGTCCCAGTAGAACTTTGTGTAAAGGATGTATCTACCTTTGTCCCCTTGGATATTGTTACGGGTGGCAGCTCCCGTGCAAATTGCCCGGAGCCATAGAAACAGCAGACTATGCAAAGAGAGGCCGTGACTGAGAATAGAATCTGTAATAAGCTATCAGCCTGCGTATCACATACTGGTGGTGTCCAATTCTTACAACTCCAACAAACATAAGGTAGTCATCCATACCCCACGCTTTTCTCCATACCCGAACTCCGACTCGCATGGAGAAAACGACCCAACTCAACACGAGCAATATGATCGCGCAATACAACAATGCCACTCCATCTCTAGCTACCTCGACAGTCGTCATACTCCCCACGCAATAATGATAAACAGATTAAAGACTCGAAACGAAGCAAGCAGGTGAAGAACAAGAGATCCTGGGGCAGCTTGGGGCAGCTCACCGGACGACATATATTGGACGTTTCATCTCTACCATGTTGTGCCATAGGAGGTTGCCGCTTTTCGGTCGATTCATGTCCTGAACTGTGAGCCGTGCGAACAGGGCCTCGTGTCGAAATGTTAGGCCGCGGGCGCTAGACGGAAAGAGCTTCGTCTGGATGGGATCTAATGTGTCACTTAGCCGCGGGACCTACCAACGTGGTAGTGTTTGGTCTATCAATGCCGGCTGGTCCGACATTCTCTTCGAGACCCTGCCATGCGGAAGTCTAGCTTTCTTCACGCATGGTCCATCACGGGCCGCGACGTGACAGGAGCTGCTTGCATGGAAGGAGCTTTCTGTGTGCTATCTTGCGATTGGCTTCAAAGATAGAAAAGCCGTTGAAGCGTGGTTGACCCCTTACCATGCTCTATGTACGTACACGATACATGGGTCGCGTGATTTTCTTTTCCTGTCGGGCCGTTGCCAGTTAAAGTGGGCCTTGCAGCTTTTACAACCCTGAGCTTTGTTCCAGCATCGGCCTTACACAGATTACGTGAGTAGGAAACGTTCGTTCCCAGCCAAGACGCCGGGAAAAGTTGGGCAATTGCTCGGGCTGGTCTGCTGCCGTTGAAGTGCAGCCTCTGACTAATTGCTGGGCAGGCAAAGACGCTTGGCTTGACACCGATTTTATGGCTCCTGGGCCGCGGCTCGCTTACCACGAGCCGCATCCTTCCCTGCGATAAAAAACGGGCCCTGTCTGGAAGACCTTTCCGAGTTCGTTGTCTTCCCTGTAAATCTCCGGAGGCTTCCCAGATCTTGTTTGAGGTGATGTTTCTAGGCCTAGAATCCCGGCAGCCTCACATTCAGTCGTTGACTGTTCCAAATCAGTGCACTCTTGCATGAGCTTGAGCCGATACGCTCTGATGTGCAGGGGGCCCGATATGTCTGCATATTACCCTCTCCCTTTCTGGTTTTCGTTTGAACTTCCATTCGTCTACTTTCATCATACCTAATTTCGCCATGACATCCTTCCAGATCCAAGACTCTGACCTAACAGGCTTCCAGGGCAAAGTTGCCGTCGTGACCGGTATTACGACCCCGTCAAATAAGCTTCGAGAACCAAAGTACTGACATCGTCGTAGGTGGGTCATCAGGCATCGGCCTCGCCACAGCTGAGCTATTGGTCTCTCTAGGCGCACTAGTTGTCGTTGGCGATATTCAAGCACCACCGGCGTCTGTGGCTGATTGTCACTTCGTCCAAATCGATGTCAGGCGCTGGAACGATCTTACGAAACTTTTCAAATCCGCGAAAGAAAAGCATGGTCGAGTTGACTTTGTATTCGCCAATGCCGGCATTGGACCAAGGGCGAACTATCTGGCTCTTGACATCGACGAAAACGGCGATCCAAAGGAACCAAATGAGGACACCCTAGATATCAACCTGGACAGCGTGGTCAAGACCGTTACGCTTGCTACTCATTACATGAAGGACCAGGCCGAGGGTGGATCTATTGTCATCATGGGGTCCAGCACCGGCTTGCATCCCGTCCGAGCAGTTGATTATTGTGAGTAACAGGTTCGCCGATCATATGTAGATCTCTAACTGACAACGCGACTCAGCGACGGCTAAAGCGGGTGTTCTAGGCTTCGGTAGGAGTTTCGCCCTTTTGGTAGAAGCTGCTGGTCTGCCTATCCGTGTCAACACACTCGCCCCTTCATGGACAGCAACTCAAGTCTTGCCCAATTTGAAGGGCCTTCTAGATGCGGTCTCAGAGAACTGCCAGTCTACCGCAGTGGTTGCCCGGGCTGCCGCATATTTGATGGCGGACAAGTCTCGCCGCGGGGATCTCATCTTTGTCTGCGATGGTAAATACACAGAAATCGAGAAATCCGTGCTCGCGCCAGCGTATGCAACCATCAAAGGAGATGGACCGAGTGACGACGCCGTACTCGCAAAGGTTATGGCTCTAGGTAGTTAGGAAGTTGATGAATTCGAAAGCAAATTTGAATGTATTAAAATGGACGGCGGGCACACCCGCAGCTGGGATAACAGCGTGGTGACATGAGTAACGGTGGCAAACCCGTGGATTTGGAAGAACGACAAGCCCCTGCCAAGACGCTACCTATCATCCCGCTTCCGATTAGGCGTCCTGGTATCTAAATAATGCAAGCGCGCTGCAACTTATGCTAGTAATAACGGGAATTCATCATACGAGCTGTCAGGCCTAAACACACTGACTGTAGTAGTCACCGTTCGCCTTGCATGTTGATCCACTCGCACAGTTCGTGCATCCACTGTACGTCATACCGCCACACTGCGCATACTTTGCTACTTCGCATATAGGGGCAGCCGATGCAGTCGGTGCAGCAGCTGTACTAGTTATCAAAGTAGTAGGGGTTGCTGGTTGAGCTGTTGGTGCAGCAGAAGACGCTGGAGCAGGAGCATTCCCCGTACCATCCCAGACAGCGGGGCCTGGAATAGGGTATGTGGTTGCCTTCATAGCTTCGGGAGAGTCGATGTTGAAAGCGATTCCGGGTTCTGTTCCGGTGTATGCACCAGGGAAAGACACGAGCGCAGATGACGGAGGGGAGGCTGTGCCAGAACCTGTCACGGTGAACTGAGCGCATTCAGGATAGACTAGCGGGTGTCAGCTGATGTTGTGATGCAAGTGCATCGAATAAGAAGCTTACACTGTGGATTGTTCGCCTGATGGACGGCGATGAGCTCATGTCGGATCAGGTAGTTACCCGCTGCGAGTGTGGCTGGAATGGTGACCGTGGCATATAGAGTGTCAAGGATGGCATCACCCGCCCAGATTCCTGCGTTCTCAGTGCCGGATATAAGACCTTGCTCGAATATCTTGACTGTAGTTACGTGAGCAACGTTTTACATCCAAGGGAGAGCTGACACGTACACCAGACCTTGCCTGCTCCATCAAAGCTGTCACAAGATCCTGGACATTTCGCCATGTATACGAGAAGTGAAGTCGGCCTATGAGTCCATTGCTTCCAGTGTGTCTTCAACTTTGCGCCAGCGGCAATGGTACCTGACACGCCTGTACCGAGCGTGCCCTTGTTGTTGCAACGGATGTTGACTGTCTATGGAGTGTTAGCTTCTGCTTGGTCCACCTTGGTGCAAAGTCTTACAGAAAGATCTTTGATGTACATAGGGTCGTAACTTGAGTACTGTCGCTGAATTGTCTTTTGACCCGCAGCCGAGTTGTAGGGCGACCATCTTGAACTTGTTAGAGTACGCAATAAACAGACATGATAAGATCGTTACCCTTCATATGTTGTACCTCCGACAATATACTGATCAACTCCACCATGTGCGGTTGCGGTCGCTATCAGCGAAGCAGCTCCTGTGAAGACTGTAAAGAACTTCATATTGCCTTTCGATATTACTGAGGAGAGATGAAGGATATTTTGTTTGGCTGTGTGAGAAGACCAGAAGTCGTACAGACCGAGAGTGCATCATCTCATATACACTTCGTCTGCCCCTGCAAGCTATACTAGCGTGTACCGCGTGACAAGACCGGGTATTCAGTCATGTCGCGGAAGCAAATCTCCACATGTGCCATAGATTGATGTCTACTGCTAGGCCGCATGCTCGGTTTGCCACAGCCGCATGGCGCCTCGGTCTAGGGAGAAGCTCGTGTTATCGGGCTAGATCTGGGGAAGAACAATTAATCTTTTTGGTCGACCAATGATGCTGGGAGACGAGTGAGGCTTTTTGGGTAGTCCGACGGAGAAAGCAGCCGTTGTGGGTGTATATAGATGAAGTTCGCAGGGATGTTAATAGCCGGAGGTCAAAATTCGCGGGAACATCGGTAGCTTGTGCCCATGACTTCGATGCTTGGTATATGAGGGTGTGGGTCATCTATAATTTGAAAAAAGTCTTGAATCAGAGATGCTCGATGCTTGGTTGACTGTGGAGACCGCCTAGGTGAAGTCCAGGGCTTGAGTCGCATGGTTGTCTGGGATTTGACTCAAGACAAAGCTGGTGATCGACATCAACGAACTACTGTTCCTGTAAAACATAGGCAAGATTGATTACGCACAAACTTGTAAGAAGTACCGATTCGGAGGCCGTTTACCGAAGAGTTGTAAAATCGCTTATGCGCGTTGCGACAGTATTCATTGCACGTGCAGATTTGCAGACCATGCTGAGCGAGATGGAAACCTGGTTGGAAAGCTTGGCTGTGGGAACATCCCATGTCATTCCAGGGTGCGATGGCTTGTCTGAGCGAGGAAGACTGAACGGTGAACCGAATATATTCAGAACATACAATGCTTCGGTAGCTGATGTCCTCGTCACCGGTGGAGGTAGGTAAGATCGTGCGACCGAGGTATCGGGCAGGCTGTCACTTAACCTGGTCGTCTGACAAGACGGTATAGTGTTCAATAGCGCCATGCAATGATGCCCATCGTCGGATAAGCACTGGTATGCGTGGGGTGCCATCCTACGTTGAGCAGAGAGTCGATAAATGAAGACCGATCCGAGTTCCAGGTCCGAAAGCATCTCTCGGAGACGGAGTGGCGCTCAAAGCTTAATTAAGGCTTCTGGTAAGTTGGAAACAATTTGGTTGTTGCCGGACTTACTCAAATGGCAACCTGGCTGGAGGAGAGTACCATGCGAAGAGACAACATGATAGGAAATGACTTTTATGCACTACCTGGTTCCCCAAACGCCATAGTGGTGGTTCTGAAATAGTTCGGTAACCAAATGATGGAAAGCAAAAAGCAGAGTGGCGAAGGACATAAGATCTTGAATCAGGTGCCATGCAGACCCACCCATTTTCCTCGGCAGAGACTGATAGATCCGCCATGTGTGCCGCTTGCGGTGTCGCAGAGATAGACGAGTTCAACGACCCCAAACTTATACCCATCGCAAATCGCAAAATCCAACCTGGTGTACGTTCTCCATGAACAGCAAACTCTTTATCCAGTCGAGCATACGCAAGCCAGACTACTGTAAATAGCTTCCAGGGTTGCGCCCTTGAAGTGTAACAAGGAGATCGTAGAAGTCCTTCCTCCAGTCGACACACTCAAGGTATTCCCACCAGAGGCGAAGTGCAGGTTCTTCATCCATATCAGACTGTATTTGATTAGCTTCCATGTTGTTTGCAACTCCATGCCACTTACCGCATCGAAAGCCTTGAGAATAGACTGCTTTTTGATCATGGCGGTCTTCATATTGGCCTCACGCTCCCACTCGCGAAGTTGTTCCACGTACTTGCGCACGTCTTTGGTCATCTTCTCGGTTAGTGCGATCTCTGCATGAGAATCGATAGTGGTTTCGTGGTCTAGGGCAGCAGAAAGACGGCCTTCGTACTCGGGCTTGCGAAAGAAATGCTTTTTGAGCTCTTCGGTAACCCACTCTTCGCGCGTTGTCGACGTGAGCTCCTCAGCCCAGTAGTTCTTGACGTGCTGAGGTACTCTAGCTGTCATGGTGTCGTAGTCCAACTTATCAGACCATCGTGTCTGGGAATAGTTTCCATAGTACATGTAACGCTTGCCGACCAGAACAAACATGGGTACGTTCTCGTATGAGTTTGAGTCGTCATCAAGTAGATCCGCAAACTCTTCCTCTGGAGCCTTATTGAAGAAGGCAGTGAGCTTTGCACCATGGTCTCCAGGCGCCTCGGGAAGGTATGGTTCGTTCTGCGGGTCTAGCTGGTAGTACGTGCGGTTCTTGAGGATACATGGACCCTTGCCTTTGACGAAGCGTAGGCCCGGTGACCAAGAAGATCCGCCAAGGATGTTGGCAAGGAAGTCAGGATGGAATGTGAAGGTAGTGTCGCCTGGAAGAATTGGACCTGAAAAAGCGTCCAGAGTTGTAAGATGGTAGGGCTTCCAAGCTCGGTTCAAGGAAATGCGTTCGAGAGACAATGCTTGATCCTGACCAACAGTCTTTGGTGAGACAGGCGGAGTTGGCGCTGGCATAGGAATCTGCTTGACTGCTACATCAGTCTGAACGTTGCTAGTGACATGGTTCTTAGAATTGCGGGCCACGACCTGTTCTTTAGTACTGCATCACGGTCAGTTTCGAATAAAGCACAATGTATCAAGTATTTTCACGCTTGTAGGCGGTAGACTCACCTGCCGTCATTGCTGGGTTCGGCTTTCTTGCCACGCAAATGTGGAGGCAGCGAACTCTTGACTGTACCGCCACTGGTCACACTAGCAGCTCTGAGATGGGGAGGCGTACTGCCATTCGTCTTGGAGGAGGCAATATCATTCGCCTTTTGCACGTCAGCGCTGCCCTTCACAGATGCGTGTACCTCGTCTTTGAGGCTTTCCAACTCTGCCCGGAGTCGTACAGCATCCTGGTGTGATGTCTTTGCGTCCACTTCTTGAAACGGGCCAACATGTACTGGCCAACCGCCTTTCTTTGGCTTGTCGACGGAGAAGGAGAGGCCGTGGTACAGTTCTCGGAGACCATTGACATCCTCGAGCAAGCTTGCATGTCCCTCCTCCAAATTGAGAACCCGTGCCTCCAGGTATGACGAGGAAGGGCTGCTCACCTGGCTGGCCGTACCGTTTTGCTGAGGACGGGTTGGAGCGAAGTTGTTGGCCGTAGGGTTCATCATGTACTGTGGAGAGTACGGACCGTGGAGGACTGGATCGCGGTCAGACATTGTACCTCGAGATTACTGGACCACTCCAAACCAAGGCGACTTGTGAGTCTGTGATGATCTGGAATTATCTGGACTGCAATACAGTGTGAGTCTACAATGAATGTGAGGGAATGAGGGTCGGAGTCTCACCGTGAGATAGTGATTCAAGGTCGTGAGAAGTCGTGAGTAAGTAAGGCGTACTTGAGTAAATGGAGCAGAGAAAGCAATGGGAGGGAGATGGAAGAAGAGACGGTAGCAAACCTCATAGGACTTGCTTATATAGGCTATAAGTGAGAGTACAGAGGCGGTGATAAGGCGGCACCTTTCGTGCTGCCTCGAGTGAGAGAGCAATGGACGCTGTCACATGTATCGATAGTGAAGTTTGCTGACAAGCATGAAGTAAAGTTTGTCCCACCAGGAACATCAGTACGGCCCTCGTGTATGGCGCTGATGGCATGTTACTAGGCATTCAGAATCACCATGTGGAGGTGGATGACCCGTCTTCTGTTCTGTGATTAGACTAGGAACTATCGCAGGCTTGGTCAATCGCCATAGTCGAATCTGGCATTGATCACGTCCTGTAGCATCTGATGTGAGGCTCTCATCGTGTCGTTCAGTATGTAATAGGCACGCACGTATCGCGTACCTGCCGCCGCCACGGTTAAGCTCTGGCACTAGCTTTCCCGTGCTGCAGCTCCTTCCTCGAGATCACGGCTGGCCGGATTTGATGCCTACGCATTGGTACCTGCTGGGCATCGAAGTGAGCTAATCGCAAGACGCGGGTGTCCGGCTTCCGAGGTCTCACCGACTCAAGTTGACGACTGCTCTTTGTCTATACTCTGACAACCACTCACAACGACGCCGGCAAATTTCTCTCGCTCCGTGGCCTTTCGCTTATCGTGGTTCCAGTTCCTGGCTCTTGGTACCCCGCGCTTACGAGGTCGACGAATGTCATATCGGAATGCGCATCCCGAAAATTGATGCATACCGTCTCTCTGTCCCCTGATGTACTGCCATGTGCTGAGATGGATGGAGTGCCCTACCTACCATAGCGCGTCTCTCCCGAGTCAACTTCACACCTCAGCACTAGAACTGCACGGTCCTGTGTCATGGTCAAGCCTAGGGGGTATTTTCCGGCCATGTACACCGTCGAGCTCTGTCTGCAAGGCTGCAAGTCTCCGTGTATTGACAAGTGCCTGGCGCTGCCATTTGGGGATGCACTACGCGAGCGACCGGGATAGTGGGGAAGCCGCGGCACGCGACATACGCGACACAGCGTGAAGTAGGAGATGGCACCTAGGTGTATCGCCAAAACAGTCGGAAGCGCAGACACTCTAGTAAACGGCACATCGTGTGATAGATAACACGTCGAGATTGGAAGGAGCTCGTAGTAGCTTGGCCTAATGCAGGGGAAGGGAAAGGAGGACCCTGACCGAGAAGCGCGCCAACGTCATTGCGCGCTTGGGCCTTGCCCGTCATTTTGCTCTCCATCTCGCTGGCGATCAGTACACGACCACCGTAGGCTCATCTTCGCGAAACCCTAAGGGACCCTGACAAGCTTCAGAGCAACCGCCAACACATTTCACTTGTCGTCGTAACACGCCATTGGTCCACCACCATGCCCCCAAAACGTACTCATGCTCACGACGAGGCGCACACCTCACTCAAGGACAAACTGCAGAACCTCCAGGGCTCCAACGCGCGGGGCGGCCGTCGTAACGGTGGGCCGAATGTCGCAAATGGCAGTGCTCTGAAAGAAGTAGACAATGCTTCTACCCACAGCGGCCAGACTTCTACCGATCTCAGCTCGTCAGGAAACGTTCGTCGCGCCCTTGTCCTCACTACCTGCACACATACATTCGCGGTCGCTGACACATCACCTCTGCAATAGATCAAATGGTCGTCGCAAGACCCGTCCGTCCTCCAAGGCTACCGAAGAGCCTATCGCCTCGACTGCCCTTCCAGCTTCAAGAACCCGCTCAGCCACGTCGTACTGAACCAGGGCATTGGACGAATGTCTCCGACCATGGCCCGACCGAAGGGAAAACGACGTGTTCACAAGGACCAGCTCGGCATGGCTGTCAAAAAGAGCTTCAACTCTCAGGCTGTCACCGAGAGTGACGTGATTGTCGACTGGCTGTACAAGTCGAAACACCAAGGTAAGGCGTCCAGACACGGTCCGGCACGTTTCCTTTGCTGATCTGCATACCAGACAATGAGTTTAGAGTACGATTCGCTCCTCAAAGGAAGTGACTGGGTCACTCCGCGCATACACATCGCTGTATTTCCGACTTTCTTCGACGATACCCCTCTTTGGCACGATAGCCACCACTTTTACATACGGATTACAAGCATTGAACAGGAGTTTGGGATACTGGGCATTAATGAATAGGGAATGGTTATGCATCATGGCTCGGGTTGGCCGCGCGGGATCGGTCTGGTCTGGACACACAACGTGAAGCATGGCATGTACAAGCATGAGGGTTATCAATAATGAGTATTTGGTAACGCTGAGATTTGGGCTCGAGGCTACGGATGCGCCGCAGGCGCATCAAGTTCATAGCACGTTTGCCATGCGCCTCCCGCACAACGAACCGAAGGTAAATAGCAAAACCAATGGCATGAACTGGAAAGACCAGCCGTAATATATGCATCTGCTCGTTTGTCTGCCCCGGCTTTTCCGTGAGCGGCAGTCGCGTCGTGGTAAACTCTCGAAGCTTCGACGCGCTCTTTACCGAGGGTGACCAATGACGGTGCGTCACCGGCCCGTGCCCGCAAAAAGTTGTCAATTATCGGCTTATACATCACTGGGCGAAGCGGAGAGCGAGAAGCAGCATCAACATACCCATTGCCCTCCCCAGATCATTCCAAGATGAGTTTTGCTGGTCCCATGCCGCTCAAGGCGGTGGCTCCTGTACGCATTGCTGGCTCGAGATCTTTCGCCAAATGTCAACGACGATGTATAGCGACGCAGGCCTCAAGAACACAATCGCGGAGACCTTCTATCGCGCAGAAGCAGCAAGTCCACAATGCGCAGTCAATACGGGTATGTGTTCTCATCCGTGCCCTTCCAACTGTAGATACTAATACGCTATGCACAGTTCTTCCACGCCTCTTCCCCGTCCTTCGCCATGGCCGACCCGTACAAGACACTCGGCGTCAGTAGAGATGCATCCGCTGCCGACATAAAAAAGGCCTACTATGGTATGGCGAAAAAGTACCACCCCGACACAAACAAAGACGCCGGTGCGAAGGAGAAATTCGCTGCCGCACAATCCGCATACGAAGTTCTCTCGGACGCTGAGAAGAAGAAGGCCTTTGATTCGTACGGAGCCGGTGCTTTCGATGCAAACGGCGGCTTCAACCCTGGGGCCAGTGCGGGAGGACCAGGAGGAAACCCGTTCGGAGGAGGCTTCGGCGGCTTCGGCGGGTTTGGTGGTGCTCAAGGTGCGGGAGGATTCCAGGATATCAATTTCGAAGACTTGTTTGGAGCATTCACGGGTGGGCGACGAGGAAGAGGGGGAGGTGGGAGAAGGAATCCCTTTGAAGAAGAAATCATGGTGGGCGACAACATCGAAGTGCAAACAAACATCTCATTTTTGGATGCGGCCAAGGGCGTCAAGAAGGATATTCACATTAGCCCCATGGCAGAGTGCGGGACATGTAGTGGCAGTGGTCTGAAGCAGGGTGCTAAGAGAGCAGAATGTAAGAGCTGTGGAGGTACCGGACAAAGGGTGACGAGCATGGGTGGCTTCCATATGAGCGCAACCTGTTCATCTTGCGGAGGATCCGGATTCGCGATACCTAGAGGCTCGTCTTGTGGCACTTGCGGCGGCGATGGAGCAGTCAAAGACCGGAAAACCATCACTATCGACATACCTGGTGGCGTAGAGGACGGCATGCGGTTGCGCGTTAATGGCGAAGGAGATGCACCGCTGACAGGTCACGCCATGTCTTCTGGCTCCGTCCGCGGCCAGAAGGGAGATCTCTACGTCCTGATTCGCGTAGCAAATGACTCGAAGTTCAAGCGCAATGGCTCTGATATCCTTCATACCGCTACCATCCCATTCACCACTGCTGTCCTCGGAGGAGAGATTAAAGTCCCCACGCTCGACGGCGAAGTCAAAGTCAAGGTTCCTACTGGATCTGGAACTGGCGACCGCATCACACTTTCTGGCATGGGCATGAAGGTGCTCTCGGGCCGACGTGGCGGCAAGGGCGATCTGCGTGTTGAGTTCAAGGTCAACATGCCCAAGTATCTCAGTGTCAACCAGCGGACAATTCTTGAGATGCTAGCGGACGAAATGGGAGACAAGAGCGCGCAACGCGTCATCAACCCCGGGAAGATGAAGGATGAACATGGGAACAGCGTAGGAGACGACCACTCGAATGAGGGCTTCCTGAAGAGCGCGTGGCACAACCTCACGGGACAGCACAAGCACCTGGATCCAGAGGAGAGGAGGAAGGCGGAAGAAGACGAGAAGAAGAAAGGGTCTGGCTGAGCATGTGGAGAAGTTGTGAGGTGTTGTATAACAGGGCCGGCGTACAGGACGACTCATGCGACTCATGTTTTCATGTTTGCAGCAAGACGATTGAAAGCATTTGATGGCGTACATGACGATGGCTTGGACATGGTGTATAGAAGTATCCGTATTTGGCCTCTCGACTCAGGGCTTGTATAATATTACGCTGTTCATGATCAACCAAGAAGGGCATAGTTTTGCAGTGTTCTTGAGATGCTTGACTAGCTCTGTAGCCAATATCGCGGGCGCGTAACGAGGGCCAGATTCGGCCTCCTTGCATGGTAATTGGTCGACGCGAGCCGCACAGCTGGGGTTGGCTTTGAGGTTGCCATAGATTGTCGCGACGGTGTGACGAGGTTGAAGAGTCACATATCGATAGCGGTCTGATTCTCGTGGCGTGCCTGAGGCATGATAGGTGGGTGTGGATGAGGAAGTCGCAGCTCTGGTGTTGCTTATGCATGTGCCTGCGTCTTCCCCACCAACCTCGCTCGCACCCTCCGAGCTCACCGTCAGCACCAGACATCGTCTGCATCGTTACCACGTAGACTTTTAAGCGTCGCCTGCGCCGCACGACAATCGTTCCCAGGACCCGGATTGACTAGACTGTGCCTCATGCGGCTGTTTCCCTGCGAACGCTTGATTCGGTGAACAGCCACCCGACCAGCGCATCGTGCCGCTGTGCATATCCCTACTTTCAACGCCATCTGCTGCGTGATCGCTTTGCCGCCCCCCAGGGACATTCACTGTATTCATACGAGAGAACTAGGCAGAAGGATTGCCAGCTACCGCCCTAGCGTATCCTCCGAGGCCCACGACAGCCCACTTCCCACGTTGTCGCCTACGCCATTGTCGCCGATCACCACACCCGCACGCCCAAGGACCAACCCTCGCGGCGATACCTCTCCAGAAAGCGCGCCCAGCGGCGGCCTCCTCAGCGCAAACACCGCCCACCATGACGACGCAGATACCCATGATCTCGGTGCCGCTGAAGCAGACGAGCGAGATTGACTGGATAACCCCGCTGAAGCAATACATACGCGCCACGTATGGCGACGACCCAGAGCGCTACAATGAGGAATGTGGAACGCTGAACCGCTTGCGTCAAGACATGCGAGGAGCCGGCAAGGACAGTGCAGCGGGCCGGGATCTGCTCTACAGATACTACGGACAGCTCGAACTCCTGGACTTGAGATTCCCCGTCGACGAGAACCACATCAAGATCAGTTTCACATGGTACGTCCCGAACCGATAGTTAGGTTGAATGGAGCAGAGGGCAGAGGCAGAGGGCAGATAGGGGCAAAGTAAGCAAGAGGACAAGCAAGACTAACGATTGCCAGGTTCGATGCCTTTACGCATAAACCTACCTCTCAGTATTCCCTCGCATACGAAAAAGCTAGCATCATTTTCAACATCTCTGCCGTCCTATCTTGCCATGCCGCACACCAGAACCGCCACGAGGATGTCGGGCTCAAGACCTCATACCATTCGTTCCAAGCCTCGGCCGGCATGTTCACATACATCAACGAGAACTTCTTACACGCACCGTCGACCGACCTTAGCCGCGAGACAGTCAAGACACTGATAGCGATTATGCTGGCACAAGCGCAAGAGGTGTTTCTGGAGAAGCAGATTGCTGACGGCAAGAAGGTCGGCTTGTTGGCAAAACTGGCGAGTCAGGCCGCGTTTTTGTATACACAGGCAACGGAAGGTGCGCAGGAAAACGTCACAAATGCCGTGTTTGAGAAGGTCTGGCTTTTGGTTTGCCAGGTAAGAACATCACAGTAACTTTTGCAATTGGAAACTGACCGTCTCGCAGATCAAATCGCATCACATGGCTTCGCTAGCCCAGTACTATCAGGCTCTGGCCGACGACGATGCGAACACCCACGGTGTAGCCATCTGCAGACTACAAGTCGCCGAAACGCATGCCAAAGACGCCAATCGAACAGCTCACGGCTTCCCGAACAACGCGCCGGCAAACTCGAATCTGACCTCGGAGACTGGGGGAATATTGGCAGAGATGACGAAGAAACATCTGGCCAACGTTCAGGAAAAGTTGGCAGAGTTTTCCAAAGACAACGACTTTATATACCACCAAGGCATTCCGAATGAAGCGGCCTTGACGCCAGTGCCGAAAATGCCTGCTGCCAAGGCGATACCCGTCAGCGAGTTATACCAGGGACAGGACATCCAGAGAATCATCGGTCCAGACATCTTCCAGAAGATTGTCCCACTCGCAGTCACTGAATCAGCTAGTTTGTACGATGAGGAGAAGGCTAAGCTCATACGCGCCGAGAGTGAGCGTGTCGAGGTCGCCAACGATGAGATGGCCGCTAGCCTGGACTACCTGAAATTACCTGACAGTCTAAATGTACTACGAGGAGGCATGGACCAAGACAACCATGTCGACAACGAATTCCGAATGTGGTGCGAAGAGCTCGCTGGACACCAATCGTTCGGCCCTGCGTTTGAGCAACTGGATAGGGACAAGTCGGAGATACTGGGTTCACTTGATGCCAGCATGAAACAACTAGACATGGAAGAGAGTGTCTGTGAGAAGATGAGGTCCAAATACGGACCTGACTGGACACAGCAGCCTAGCTCTCGGTTAACGTCCACGCTGCGAGACGATATCAGAAACTACCGGGGCGCCGTTCAGGAGGCGAGCACTAGCGATGCACAATTATACAACACATTTAGGCAATGTGAAGCCGACTTTGACGAGATGCGATCGGCTGGCGAAACGGATGAAGCCGATGTATTGTACTCAAGAGCTATGGTCAAAGCAGGCGCAAGTAAGGGCAAAAGCCCTAGGCCTACTGAAGGCAATCTCATCGATGATGACATTGATGAGGGTCCATCGGTAACGGATCAGATTGCGGCTGTTGAAGATATCTTGCGGAAGCTGAACCTTGTCAAGAAGGAGAGGACGCAGATACTCAAGGACCTCAAAGACAAGGTATGTGATCATCGACGCTCGAGTATGCCATGTATTGACTTTGACAGGTTCACTCTGATGACATTTCTAATGTACTAATTCTGAACAAAAAAGCCATTGCGAACCAGGAGTCGCAATTGTTTAAAGCTGAGCTGGAGAAATTCAGGCCCCACCAGAATCGCATACTACAGGCCAACCATAAACAAGCTTCATTCCTGAAAGAGCTCACTCGAACTTACTCGGATTTACTCAAAGACAAGCGCGTGCGATCTGAGCAAAGCAAATATGAGGCATTTTCAAGACAACGAAACATCGTCATGACCAAATATCGCAGAGTATACCAAAGCTTCAATGATCTTGTTGCTGGATTGTCGCGCGCTCAAACCTTTTATTCAGAGATGAAGGACACAGTGTTAAGCCTACAGAAGAATGTTGAAACTTTTGTGAATAACAGACGCAGTGAGGGCGGACAGCTCCTGACTAAGATTGAGGAGCGCAACAAGGCACAAGGCGCAGATCAGGAACAACAAAGAATGAAGGAACTAATGGAGAGGATGTCACTGGAACCTTCAGGCTCACCTGTATCACAAGGTGGAGGCCGTAAGAAGAGCATACCACCTCCGCTTTCCTCAACACCTGGTTATCCGTCAACATCAGGAGCTAGCCATCCGGCGTATAATCCTGCAGCTTCACCACCTGTTACGCCACGCTATCCAATGACCACAGGCCCAAGCCAACAGTTCATGTCGCCACAGCAATCCTATGGCCAACCCTCGAACGGCTACAACCAGCAGCAACCCCCACGACGGGAGAGCTATGGACAGCAATATCCCACGCATCAAACGCAGAACTCGCAGAGCTCATCGGCTTATAACCCCGCGATTCACAACCAATACAACCCCACCTCACCACCAGCACACCAGCAATTCTTCTCTCCACCGCCTGCACAACACCAACCACATCAGCCATGGGGTCAACCTCCTTCAAACCAGCAGCAACAGTGGGGTGGTGCACCTCAGAATAATCTGCCACAGGGTTATGTTCCACCGCCACCTCCGCCGGGACCGCCGCCAAGTCAATATCAGCAAGATTATAGTCACTTCAGCCAAGGAGGCTATCCAAATGGACCCGGGGGATACGCGAACCAGCAGCGACCGGCACAAGGACAGGGTCAGAACGGGAACGACCCCTGGGCGGGATTAAGTGGTTGGAAATGATGAATGTGGAGAGATGGAGGGAATACTACCTTCGCGCAGGATACCGTCGTAACAAGAAGAGTAGGGCCCGGATCATAAATTCAGTTCGTTCATTATTGGCGATTCGAAAAGTGGACTTGAAATAACATCAGCGTATTGCTAAGGTAGGTGTAGATAATGGATACATCGTACATCATACACGGCAGTCCTCACGGACGTTGGCTTTTGGTTTAATCTTTACTCTTTTTCATATAGCCTAATTCGTGGTTTCAAACATTTGACCTAACAATCAGACAAGCTATTCGCCAACAAAGTCGTAGACCATCCTCACTCTCAACTCTTCACCCTTCTCATTGCTAACTCTTACACGTCTCGTATGCCTTCTCTCCCCATCAACCATCTCAAAGCCCCAAAGGTGGCTAGCCTCCCATTCACCCTGCTTCTTCCCCTCCGCATGAATCAACTTTCCCTCGCTATCCCCTTCAATCCATTCACCCTCGCCCTCGCCAACTACGCCCGTCTTCCTCCCCTCCTCGACACTGACCCATCGACTTCTTCCTGATACCTCACCGAAGAAACCATCCTGGTTGGTGCGCCACTCGTAGTCCAAGGTATAATCCTCTGTAGTACCAGGGATTTTGCCGCTAGTTATCGACTGCGCCATCTTGATATGTTGATCGTCTGGTTGACTGATTTTGAGATGGATAGATGCTGCGGTGGCTGTCTTGCGGACTAGAACGTTTACGCCTTGGAGCGCGAGGACTGATGCAAAGTCATCGGAACAGGCTTTGTTTAGTTGCCATTTACCCGATAAGGACTGTAGGGATTTGTTGGATGGAGCAGCC